GGGCAGGTCCCCCCCGCGCCCCGCTGCGGTCCACCTCCCACGGGGGGCCTGGGCAGGTCCCCCCCGCGCGGGCCAGGCTCCCCGGGGCCCCTTTCTTAGGGAGCCGGTGGGGGAGGGGAGCGCTCCGCCACCCGGGTTGGAGGATCCCGGTTCCCCGGTTGTTTTTCCACCCCGCCCACGAGTGAGGGGTTCGGCTTCTTTGTCACCTCCACCCCTCATCCCGTCCCTTGGGGACAGCTCAGGTGTCCCAGAGCTTGTAGTGCAGATCCGAGTCTCTGGATGGATGGATGGAAGGATTCTTCTCTCCCCCGGGAAGGTCCCACACACACCCTTTTTTTTTCTGAGGAAGGTGTGTGTGTTGGGGGGGGGTGTTATCTGAAAGGTATCTAATTACTAGGTGGGGCGTCTGTCTTGGTTTCTGAGGGCTGGGCGGTTTCCTGATACCTGTGGGTGTCCCCCCTGAAAATACACTGCCATATTGTATGGGTCCCTATTAGGGAGAGAGCAAGGGATCCTCTCGGGGTAGTTGGGGGGGTGTTCTGTGGAGAGGGGTGTTTCAGAGCCCCTCCACCCTCTCTGCACGTCTTTTCCCTTGAGAAGCCTGGCGGGTTCTTTGGGGGAGCAGTTTGCAGCTCCATAAAGGGTATTTTAAGATTTCCTGGGGATTTCTCTCTTTTGGGGGGGGGCAGAGTTGGTGGGTTCAGTTCCTTGAAAGTTTCCATAGGGTCCTCTCTCGCGCGCTCTCTCTCTCTCTCCCCACCTCCTCCTTTCTCTCCTTTATTTGTAACAATTCTGGGGCCTGAACGCAGAGCCTAGCTCTCACTTGGCCTTTTGTCAATGCTGGCTCTTTACCACTTGAGCCACGGCTCTGTACAGTTCTGAGATTTTTGTTTTGTTTTTTGTTTTCTACTTTAGTGTCTCCTTGTATTCTGAAAGGTGTGACCGGCTCTGTGTGTGTGTGTGTGTGTGTGTGTGTGTGTGTGTGACTGTTCCCAAGAGACCTTGCTGTCTGACATCCCCCTCCTCTACAGAGGGACAGAGGGGTGTCCCCCACTCTCTCCACCTCTGCTGAAGCCACTTCTCCAGTGACCCCCCCCCCGCGGGGAACCCTCTTGACTGCTTGTGCCCATGCAGGTGATGATGTTCGGCAGCCCCGCCATCGCCCTAGAACTTCTGAAGCAAGGCGCCAGTCCCAATGTGCAGGACGCCTCCGGCACCAGTCCTGTCCATGACGCGGCGCGCACCGGCTTCCTGGACACCCTCAAGGTCCTGGTGGAGCATGGCGCGGACGTCAACGTGCCCGACGCCACTGGGGCGCTGCCCATCCATCTGGCCGTGCGCGAGGGCCACAGCGCCGTGGTCAGCTTCCTGGCACCGGAGTCCGATCTCCATCACCGGGACGCCAGAGGCCTCACCCCCCTCGAGCTGGCCCGGCAGAGAGGGGCGCAGCACCTGCTGGACATTCTGCGAGGGCACACGGTGATCCCACTGTGACACCCAGGGCGAACCCCTTTTGCGATGGGGGGGGACAGGGGAGAAACACTACCCAGGTGTGGGGAGGGGAGGGGTTGCAGGGGGAGAGGAGGAGCCATTTGAGGCATTCTTGGTGTTGATTTCTGGCGTGCCGTGTGTTTTGGGTGGGGGGAACACGTTTCTCTTTTTGGTTTTCGCACCCCTTTCGGTGTGTTGGATTGAGAGGGGCTCCTACAAGCCCGCCGCCGCTTGAACGGTTCAGTTTCTCATTTAAAGCCCCAGCCCTGCAGTGAGGTCACCATCTCCAGGGATTTCTGGAACCTGGTGACCTTGGCTGGCAGTATTGGGGCGGGGGGTGGGGAGGTTGGGGGGTGGAGGAAGGTCTGGAAAGTGTGGGTGTGCCTGCATCGGGCATGGGGGCGGGGAAGGGGGAGCCTTTGAAATCAATAAAAGGAGTAGCAATGAGTTCGTTTCAGAGTTGGTGGGAATGGGAAGCTCTTTCCAGTCTCGTGTACAGCGATGAAAAGACAAAAAACAAACAAAAAAAAGATTCTATTTATTAAGCTTGTTGGAAAACCTGTGTGTGCTAACTTAAATGTTTCTACCCATTAAATTAAGGTTTGTGTTTGATCCCGGCTTGGCTTCTGATTTGTGAATCCGGGATGGGGGGGTACCGCGTGTGCAGGGGGGAATTGAGTAGTGGGGGGTCGCCGATCGTGGGTGCTGGGGGGCGGAGGGCAGGAGGGGGACAGATGGTCCTTCCCCGGGCGCCCGGCTGAGTGAGCTGGGTGGGGCAGCGGTTGGCTCAGTCGGAACGGAAGGGAGGCAGGAAACCGCGAGTGGAGCAAGGGCCCCAGATGTCAGCTGGGTGCCGGGAGCCCCGAGGGAGGGTGGGGAGGGTGGGTTGGGTGGGCGGCGGCCCCGGCCTTCCCCGAAGGGGCGCGGCCTCCAGGGCCGGGACTTGGTGCAAAAGGCCGAAGTGGGACCGGGAAGGGCGAGGGGGCGTGGCCAGCCGCGGCTCGCGTGGCCGCGCCCTTTAAAACACCCAGCGACGGGCGTGGCTAGAGATGGCCACGCCCCCCGACGGGGCCGGCTTCGCGCGTGCGCACTGGAGGCCAGCACCGCCATGCCGGAACCGCGCGGGTCGTCGTCTCCTCTGCGGGTGAACGCGGCTTTCGCCGCCCGCTACGGCCGCTACCGGGAGCGCGAGGAGCTGCAGCGGCGTGAGTTCGGGGCGCGGGGCGGCCCTCGGGGAGTGTGGGAGGGCCCCTCCGGAGCGCCCCGGGACGTGGGGGGCCCGGCTGACGGGGGCGCCCCGATCTGCGCCCGCAGTGAAGGATCGCTACGGGGACCCGGACAGCGGCGGCTCCGGCTCCGACTCCGACTCCAGCGACGAGCTCGTGGTGCGCTTCCCGCCCCCCCCGTGTAAAAGCGGGGACCCCTTAACCTCTGACCCCTCAGGAAGTTCCCTCTTAGCCACCTGCTGTCCGCATCTTTCCTCCCCTGGCCCCCCAACAGTTGTGGCTGTCCCCGCCCCCACCCCCAGGTGGGTCCCTGCTGCCAAAGCCGGGCCCGGCCTGCTGTACTGCGTGCGGGCGGCGTGACCCCTCCTCCTGCCCCCCACACCTGCCCCTACCCCCCCATCCTGGGTTACCTGCCCCAGGTTATTCCACGCCCCCTTCTGACGCCGGCCCCGCCCCCTTTCTGCTCTAGGCCTTTGACCCCCAGCAGGAGCGAGACTTTTACAGGACGCTGTCCTTGTTGAAGAAGAAAGACCCTCGCATTTATCAGAAAGATGTCACCTTCTATCAGAGAACAGGTCTGGGGTGCGGGCATCTGGCGGGCAGTGGCTGAGGCTGTGTTCTGGCGGGAGAGGCGTGAAGATGGGATGCTGTGGGGGAATTCCATCCCGGGGTGCATTTAAATGCCGTGGGAAAGCTGAACGTTCCCGGCTGGAGTCGGCCCAGGCCTCTCTGTCTGGGCTGGCCCCAGAGGAACCGTGACCCTCTCCTGTCTGTAGCTGGGAAGTGGTGGGTAGAGGATTTGAACTCAGCTCTGCCCTGTGGGGTTCTCTTGCCAGGGGCAGGGCGGGAGGTGGTGGGTGACCGGCAGCTCTCTTCTGGTGGGTCCCCAGCATCATCTTCATCCTCCGAGAGTGAGGAGGACCCAGGGGCGTCTGAGAAGCAGAAGAAAGCGAAGCCCATGTACTTGAAAGACTATGAGAGGAAGGTCATCTTGGAGAAGGAAGGGTGAGAAGCAAGTCCCCCACCTTCTCGTGCCCCCCCCAGAATTCCCAAGAACCTTGGGCCAACTACAGATTGAGGCTAAAAAAAACAACAACTGAGGGGCTGGGAAGGTGGCTCAGTGGTAGAGCGCTTGCCTTGCATGCCTGAGGCCCTGGGTTCTATTCCTCAGCACCACATAAGCAAAAAGAAAAAAGCTGGAAGTGGTGCTGTGGCTCAAGTGGTAGAGCGCTAGCCTTGAGCTAAGGAGCTGAGGGACAGCGCCCAGGCCCAGAGTTCAGGCCCCACAATCAGACCCAAAAAAACAAAAAACAAAAAACTGGGCACCTCTGTCTCACGCCTGTCATCCTAGCTACTCAGGAGACTGAGATCTGAGGATTGCAGTTCAAAGCCAGCCCAGGCAGGAAAGTCCTTGAGACTTATCTCCAATGAACCAGAAGTGGCACTGTGGCTCAAGTAGTAGAGTGCTGGCCTTGAGCTGAAGAGCTGATGGACAGCACCCAGGCCCAGAGTTCAAGCCCCACAATTGGGGGGTAGGAGGTGGGGGAACCAAGCCAGAAGCCCCTGGTTCCCACCTGTAATCCTGGCTACTCAGTAGGCTGAATTCAGAGGATCACAGTTCAAAGCCAGCCTGGGCAGGAAAGTCCATGAGACTTTTTTTTTTTTTTTTTTGGGTCCGGTCGTGGGACCTGAACTCCGGGCCTGGGCGCTGTCCCTCAGCTCTTCAGCTCAAGGCTAGCGCTCTACCACTTGAGCCACAGCGCCACTTCCGGCTTTTTTTTCTTATTGCTTATGTGGTGCTGAGGAATTGAACCTAGGGCCTCAGGCATGCAAGGCAAGCGCTCTACCACTGAGCCACCTTCCCAGCCCCAAGTCCATGAGACTCTTATCTCCAATGAACCACCAGAAAAATGGAAGTGGAGCTGTGGCTCCAAGTGGTAGAGCACTAGCCTACCACTCAGGGACAGTGCCCAGGCCCTGAGTTCAAGCCCCAGGGCAGGTGCAAGGGAAACTAAAGCCCAAGATTCTACAGAATCAAGGAAACACTTGAGAGCAAAAGCCTCCATGACCTCCCCGAACACACTCAGGTCCCCCCGTCTCCCCAAATGCTAGAAAACACATTGAGCATCCAATCAACCCATTGTCAAGTGAAGCTGTGGGAAGTTGAGCTGTTGTGATCAGGCGCTGTATTCTAAAGCTCTCCTTCCTTCCTACAACAGCAAATACGTTGATGAGGAGAACTCTGATGGGGAACCCTCTGATCAGAGACTCAAGGTGGGTGGAGTGAAGACTGGGGAGACAGCTGGCGGGGGCGGGGGACGGGGGACTTGGGGGTAGCCTGAGGCCCACATCATTCTCTCCTCTACAGCAGAACTTGTCAGAGACTTATGTGGAAGAACAGAAGCAGCTCAAGGAAAGGTGAGCCTGGCCTTGGCCTGAGTGAGTGCCGTAGGGCCCAGGAAGTGACGTGGGGCTCAGGGGCGGGGCCAGTGCCCGCTTCCTCTTCTCTTCTGTGGGGTTCATGTGACAGCACTGCTGGGCGTTTGAGAGGTATGCTCAGGGCTGGCTCGCCAGGGTTAATTTTGGGGCTCCAGCAGGGCCTGATCTAAGGCTGTTCCTTGGTTTTCTGTTTTTCTCTTTCAGTTTCCGGGCATTCATAGAGGACAGCGAAGATGAGGACGGCACTGGGGACAGTGGCTCTGGGTTACTGAAAAAACACACTAAAACCAAGGAGGAAAAGGTCGGTTCTGTTCTGAGGCCTGGCTGGATGGCAACTAGGGAGCGTATCTGGGGACCCTGAAGACCCTTAATCTTGGCTTTCCCCAGGCCCAAGAAGAGGCTGATTATGTTGAGTGGCTGAAGGGACAAAAGGAGATTCAGAACCCTGAGTCCACGAAGGAATTGGTAAGTAAACTCTCCCATTTGACATCCATCCAACCTCTTTCTAAGAAAGTGACGCTCTGAAAGGTCAGCCAAAGGCACATCTGAGGCTGAGGCATAGCCCAGTGGTAGCACATACACTCATCGCATACACTCACCATTCAGGATGCCCTGGGTTCCATCACTGGACTAACAGCCAAAAAGCCAGCCTCCGTTTCTCTGTCTATAAAATGGTGGCTCATCTCATCCACTCTAGGCTGGACTTGAACTTTCAGTTCCCCAAGCCCATCGGGGACTCATGCCTATCCTTCCGTCTTGCCTCTTCTATGACCTGAGTCCTGTCTCTCCTCTTTCTCCTTAGGAACACCTCAAGGAATACTGGAACAACCCAGAGCTGGACGAGGGAGAGCAATTCCTTCGGGATTACATCCTCAACAAGCGCTATGAGGAGGAGGGAGAGGAGGATGAGGAGGAAGAGGAGGAAGAGGAAGAGTAAGCTACTATGATTACCTCATGGCACCTTTCCAAGGGCCAACTGGGAAGCCAAAGAGCCCCTTCTATTGCTTGTTTTTTGTTTTGTTTTTTGCTGTTGTGGGACTTGAACTTGGGGCCTGTACGCTGTCCCTGAGCTCTTGTGCTCAAGGCGAGCAATCTACCACAGCACCATTTCCAGTTTTCTTGTGGTTCATTGGAGTTAAGAGTCTCACGGACTTTCCTGCCCGGGCTGGCTTTGAACAGAGATCCTCAGATCTCAGCCTCCTGAGGAGCTGGGATTACAGGCGTGAGCCACGGAGTAGGGATCCCACCGTCCCCCCCCCCAGCCATGCCCTGTCCTGTCCCTCAGGGCCCCCGGCCCCCCGGTCCAGCTGGCTGTGGACGACTCCTCGGACGAGGGCGAGCTCTTCCTGAAGAAGCAGGAAGACTTTGAGCATAAGTACAACTTCCGCTTCGAGGAGCCGGATTCGGCCTCGGTGTGTGACCAGGGCTGGGGGTGTGGGAGGCCGTGGCCCCCACATTTCTGTTTCCAGAGGCCCCCAATTTATTCCTAGGGCCCCTCTGCCGCTCCCAGGTCAAGACATTTCCACGGAACATAGCTTCCTCGGTGCGCCGCAAAGACGAACGCAGGAAGGAGAAGAGAGAGGAGACGAGGGAGCGGAAGAAGAGGGTAGGTTGGAGGGGACGTGCGGGGGGAGGGCGGGCAGGAGGGGCCCAGCCCACCCATGGCTCCCCTCCCCTCCCCCAGGAGAAAGCCAGAAAGCAGGAGGAGCTGAAGCAGCTGAAGAACCTGAAGAGGAAGGAGATTCTAGCCAAACTGGAGAAACTGAGGCAGGTGACAGGCAATGACAGGCTGGGTCTGGAAGAGCAGGACCTAGAGGATGACTTCGACCCCGGCCGGCATGAGCAGCTCATGCAGGTGCGTGCGCCTCGCCCAAGGCCAGGCCTGAGGAAGCCTGGCTGTGCTGTCAGGTTGATTCCGGCTTGGGCGGCCTCAGAGAAGTGTCTTGACCTCTCTGGTGCGAACGCAGGGTTCTTCGGGGCTGTTGTGAGGATGTCCCCAAGGTTTAGTTCTTGTGTTTTCAGGGAGCGTCTCACTTGATGATGGGGTTCTGTTCTGATGAAACTGCAAATGTTCACATCCTTCATCTGAGATTTTTGGGGAGGCTGAGGAGGATCATGGGTGGAGGCCAAACCTGGGCAGAATAGATCACAAGGCTCTATCTTGAAAATAACCAGCAAAAACAAAGCCAGGGATGGGGACCTGGCTCAGGAGTAGAGTGCCTGCCAGAAGCCTGAAGTCCTGAGTTCGAACACGAATAGCATTCAAAAAAGAAAAGAATTGGACTGGTGGACGTGGCATAGTGGTAGCGTGCATGAAAAGTCCTGGGTTCGATTCCTCAGTGTCACATACACAGAAAAGCCCAAAGTGGTGCTATGGCTCAAGTGGTAGAGCACCAGCCTTGAGCAAAAACAAGCTTAGGGACAGTGCCCAGGCCCTGAGTTCAAGCCCTAGAGTGGCAAAACAAAACAAAAAAAAAGGCTTTCCACCATCGTGTAATTGGAAATCCCTAAATGAGAAACTTCTTTCTTTTGATGTGAGTGGTGCTGTTTTTATTTATTTTTTGAGCCATTAATATTTATTGTACTTGGAGGAACATGGCAGCGTGTCATGGACTCAGGAAAGGGGGGCTGCGTCAAGAGCGGGAACTGCAGGCACCTCAAAGAGGCCCCTCGCCCCGCCAGGGAAGCCCCGGGGGATGCTGGGTGAACGCTGAGGGAGGTGGGTGCCAAGCCTCCCAGCCTGGAGCTGTGGCTTCTCATCCGTGGAGAGAGTTGCTGTCACTCAAGGATGGGAAGGAGAAGGAATCAGGTGGGCTGCCCACAGCCGTGCATGTAGTACTTGCTCAATTAATAATCCAGCGCCACACCTGTAATCCTAGCTACTCGGGAGGCTGAGATCTGAGGGCTGAGGTTTGAAGCCAGCCTGGGCAGGAAAGTCCATGAGACTCCTATCTCCAAGTAACCAGCAAAAAAGCTAAAAGTGGTGCCATGTTGGCCTGGGGCACAGGGTGCAGGCCGGGAGCTGAGGCCTGCAGGGTGCTGGGGGGGCGGGGACGGCCCCTGTTCCCAGCCCTGCTCACCCCAGCCTGGCCGCACAGAAATGCTTCGGAGACGAGTTCTACGGCGCAGCGGAGGAGGAGAAGCCACAGTTCGAGGAAGAGGAAGGGTTTGAAGGTGAGCACAGCCAGGCACCCGCTTCAGGGGTGCAGAAGGCTGGGTCCCCCCATTTTGGGGGGACACCCCTCCTCACCCCACTTTTCTGTCCCAAGCAGATGACTGGAACTGGGACACGTGGGCCGGGGCTGGGAGCAAGGAGGAGCCACACTGCGAGGACGCTGACTTCAACGTGGGTGCCATGGGGACGGGCGGGGGGGGGGGGGGGGGGGCGGGCAGGGGACCCCACGGACAGGCCCGCAGCGACCCATGTGTCCGGCAGATGGATGCGGACTACGACCCCCACCAGCCCCGCAAGAAGAAGCGGGAAGCCCCCGCCACGGGCAAGAAGAAACGCAAGACGCCCTTCGCAGCGGCCGTGGGGCAGGAGAAGCCGGTGTTCGACCCCGGTGAGGCCTGGGGGGCCCTGGGGCCACGGGGACTGCGTAGGCCCGGGAGCGACGCCCCGACCCTCTGTCTCCCTCCGTGCAGGGCACAGCACCTTTGAGCAGTACCTAGACGAGTACTACCGCCTGGACTACGAGGACATCATCGATGACCTGCCCTGCCGCTTCAAGTACCGCTCCGTCATCCCCTGCGACTTCGGGCTCAGCACCGAGGAGGTCAGGGTCCTGGAGGGGGGTGGGGGGCAGTAGGGAACCCTGGGGTGCCAGCCCCCCCTCCACAGGAAGATCCAACTCTTGTCTGATGAGCCACCAGAGTCTGCCGGGCATTGGTGCTCATGCCTGTAAGCCCAGCTACTCAGGAGGCTGGGCGCTTGTGGATCACAGTTCAAAGCCAGTCCAGGCAGAAAAGTTAGGGAGATTTTATTTTTATTTTTTTTGGTCAGTTGTGGGACCTGAACTCTGGGCCTGGGCGCTGTCCCTCAGCTCTTCAGCTCAAGGCTGGGACTCTACCCCTTGAGCTATAGCGCCACTTCCGGCTTTTTCTGCTTATGTGGTGCTGAGGAATCAAACCCAGGGCCTCATGCATGCAAGGCAAGCGCTCTACCACTGAGCCACCTTCC